AATGAAAAGAGACGACTTAATTATAATTTGATCAAATCATAATTAATACCAGAATGAATTGCAGGGTGAGTGGAAAATGTGCACTCTCAAAACTCAAAAGACAAAGAGCGTAATGGGGTTGAATTTTTTTTTTTTTACAAAAGATAATTTTATATTGATCAGAAAAAAGACAATTACATCCTGGAATGGAGTCAGGTCACAAAATCAAAGAACCGACTTGCAGACGGGTACAAAAGAAGGGCCTTTCGAGCAATCAAGTGGGCTACCCTATTATTACGCCGACCTACAAACCGAACATTAAACCCTTGCTGGTTAGATAAGCAATGCAGAACTTCCTCGAGTAGAGCGCCAATCCGGCTATCGCGGACCTCAGATCTGGAGAGCTTCTCAATTATCACCTAAGCATCCCCTTCAAATCGTACCTCCGTCAACCCCGCCGCGGAACACCAATGAATAGCATCACGGAGTGTGAGCATCTCAACAACCAAAGGATCATCAATGACACCAAACTGAACACCCATCGCCCTACCACCAACCCGGCTGACGACAGGATAACCATCCCACCCGCCGAATGAGAACAACCCCTGGTAGCTCCATCCCACCTACAAATGAACGACCCAGGATTGGCCGTACCCAGCGGCAGGCTAGAACCAGTAGGGGTACGAGGAGGTGCTCTATCCCCTGGCAAGTTTATCCACTCCTGAACCTGCTGATTACATTGACGCATAAGAGCTGGGATCCCAAATTGTTTGCGCTAAAAAATAACCTAAATACGAGATCACCAGATCCGCCAAAGAACAGCAACAACTGCCATCAGCAGGTGGGGGTGATGATTACACCTCATCAACCTTTTTCAGGAATAAGGGAAACGTCTGCCTAGAAAGGCCTTGACCAAGGTATTCCAACCCCGCATAATCCCACATATATAGCCCGAGCCACTGGACATTCAAGGAACAGATGCTCCATTGTCTCCGAATCTGCCCAGCAAACCGGGCACCGAGGATGGACTGGAACATACTTTTCAATAAGCGCTTCTGTCGTAGGGAGGAGCTGATTGAGAAGTTGCCAGAGAAAAATGCGCAACTTAGGGGGAATAGGGGCATTCCAAACATTAATCCAGTTCGATCGATCCATCCAACTGGCCATTGATCGCCACTAGCCTTCTTTTTTATCCATTAGAACAACCAAATGATAAGCTGATTTCACCGTAAAACCCCCATCAGCCGTCATATGCCAGATCAGTCGATCCTCAATATTCCCGCGAGGAAGAGGGATCTTCTTAATCGCTCGACAGGTAGGAGGATCAAACCATTGACTTAGCCTCTCGTCACACCAACGCCCTTCACCTGAGACAATTAACTCAACCACCACCGGGTTTCCCCCACTAGGCATAACACGCGGGTTAGGAACTGGGTTGTCCGGGTGCAGCCATGGAATCCAATTATTCTCCGACAGAGGGGCGGCTTGACCATTTCCAATTTGCCACCGGAGGCCTTTCACTAACAATTGACGACCAAAAAGAATGCTTTGCCAGCCCCACGACGGGCGACATCTAGCCGTGGCCCGTAAGAAATCCCCCTGGGGAAATATTTACCCTTATACACCTGACCCAACAGAGAGGTGGGATCATTGAGGATCCGCCATCCAACCTTAGCTAGTAGAGCTTGGTTGAAGTGCTCAAATCGGCGAAATTCCATCCCCCCATCATGCTTACTTCTGCTTGAATTAGATACGTTTAATACTCAAACTTCTGTGCTATTGCAGAGTCGTCGCATATTGTGTGTTTGTTCGATGTTTCACGTACTATACACATATAAAAAGTCAAATACTTGCTTATAAAAGTCAAGTGGTCACCGTCTTCTCTAGGGGTGTACATGGGTCGAGTGGTCCGAGTTTAGACATTCATTTTAATCATCTGACCCATGCACTACAGTTTGGAAAATATTAAATCCAAACCCACCCAAAAAAATTTAAACCCTACGGTTTGTTTTTAATTGGGTTGGGTTGGGCGGGTTGGCGATATTTTTAAGTAAAAACCCAACCCAACACAAAATATTTAATTATTCTACACCATAAAAATATTTTATAACTAATTAAAAATTCAAACGAATAAATCGAGGTGAAAGGTATCAAAATTCACAAATGTTGTTTGAATTTTAATAAAATTTGATTTACTTCAACTTAAGTCTAGTTTTTTTCACGACATTTGTTGAAATAGGCTAAAAAGGTTACAAATGAACGCATCCATAAAATGTTATTCTATTAAAATTGTACACAAGAAAAAGAATTACGTGAATCATAACTATAATAAATTTATGTCTAAACTTTAAGCCTAAAAATGCCTTAGATTAGGGAGATGATAACACTGAATTTGCACATGTTTTCACCCCTCATTTCTTGATTGTTTAGCTTGTTGATTATCATACTTTGGCCTATTTTACGCTAGGTTGTGTTCCTTTGTCACATTTCAGGTCCTAGCATGTAAAATGGGGGAAAGTTAATCTGCTAACTTGAAGATAGGCTAAAAAGGTTACAAATGAACGCATCCATAAAATGTTATTCTATTAAAATTGTACACAAGAAAAAGAATTACGTGAATAATAACTATATTAAATTTATGTCTAAACTTTAAGCCTAAAAAATGCCTTAGATTAGGGAGATGATAACACTGAATTTGCACATGTTTTTACCCCTCATTTCTTGATTGTTTAGCTTGTTGATTATCATACTTTGGCCTATTTTACGCTATGTTGTGTTCCTTTGTCATATTTCAGGTTCTAGCATGTAAAATGGGGGAAAGTTAATATGCTAACTTTAAGATTTGTTAGCAGATACTAAGTGATATCCACAATACATGAACTAGTATCCAAGTACTAAAGTATCTAGAGAGCACATATTATTATTCAAAGTTTTCTAACTGATATCCACCATGAATCAACTATTATCCCAAATTCATAAACTAATATCTAGACAACACAGAATAGTATTCATACAACACATAATTAGTATCCAGGTAACACATAAGAGTATCCAAATAACACATAAGAGTATCCATATTGAATACTAGTTGGTTGATTGTTGATATTAGTTGGTATCTACTATCTAGATACTAGTTTATGATGTTTTGAATACTAGTCTGTGCTATCTAGATACTCAGCAGACTTGGATATTAGTTCATACATTTTGGATAATAGTTAGTATATACTAACGAATTTTCAAGTTAGCAGAATAACTAGACTGTGTAAAATGAAGCATATGCACAAGTTTCAAGTCAATCGGAGATCAATTGGCGACTCGGGGGAAGAAACTATGGTATGACCCAAGGAAGAATGGATTTCTACCTCATTTAATGGACAAATAATCATGTAATCTAGGCATGTAAAGAAAGAGGACTAGACAACGAGTACCTGATCAAACGACAACTGATTCGGAGTTCAGATGAGGAAGAATAATATGATTCAATATGAACGAGACTACTCCACGGAGAACGTGAGTTCTCAGAATTGTTATTAGCGGCTGTCTCGTCTCTTCTTCTTAGTTACATCAGCCGGAATCCCTTCCTAATATACTCGAGGGACTAGATACTATAACAACACTCCTTGTGTTGTTATTGTAACAACATTAGTCTCCAACCAATAAGAAGCTAGGGTTGTGATGACTTTTTATTAGATGAGTTGACCTAGTGTAAAATCAAAGCAGGGGTATAATTGTCATTATGAAAAATATGTTTAAATAATTAAAAAAATTAAAAATTTAAAAAAAAATTATTTTTTCGGCCCAAAATTTTGGTCGCCGGAATTCTGTCACCGGTCGCCGGAAAATGGTCGCCGGTCACCGGAATATGCTTTTCGGCGCCGGAATATGCTATTTTCTCATCGGAATATGCCACCGTCGCCGGAATATGCTCACCGTGATCGGAATATGCTTACCGACGTCGGAATCTAGTCATCGGCGCCGGAATATGCCTATCGGCGCCGGAATCTACTCACTGACGGTCATCGGCGTTTGGTCAACGATTTTCGTTGACCGGTCAACGGTCTTCGTTGACCGTTCAACGGTCTTCGTTGACCGTTCAACGGCCAACGACCACCGGATGTTATGGTCTGCATTGTGAGATTTATGGTTTGGTTTCTCACATTTTTGTATATCTTTTGTGGTTTGCTTTATCGCGTTTGTGGTTTGCATTGAGAAATTTTTGGTTTGCTTTATCGTGTTTGTGGTTTGCATTGAGAAGTTTCTGGTTTGCTTTAAAAAACTTTGTGTTTTGCATTGAGGGGTTTCTGGTTTGTTTTAATATATTTGTGATCTGCATTAGGACGTTAATGGTTTGTTTTTTCGTGGTTTGATTTACTGTGTTTGTAGTTTGCATTAGGAGATTTCTGGTGTGCTTTCGCAAATATTGTGGTTTGCTTTGTGAGGTTTGTGGTTTGTTTTAGGAGATTTGTGGTATGCATTAGAAGGTTTCTGGTTTGTATTAAGAAGTTTCTGGTGTGCTTTCGAAACTTTTGTGGTTTGCTTTTGCGAGGTTTCCGGTTTGTTTTAATATATTTGTGGTCTGCATTAGGATGCTTTTGGTTTGCTTTACCGTGTTTGTGGTTTATATTAGGGGGTTTCTGGTGTGCTTTTCAAAATATTTATGGTTTGCTTTGTGGGGTTTCTGATATGTTTTAGCGAATTTGTGATTTGCATTAGGAGGTTTACGGTATATTTTTTGTGGGTTGTTTTATTGCGTTTGTGGTTTGCACTAGATTTTTTTGTTAAAAATATTTGTGATTAGAATTACTAAACACTAATATAAACAATACAATATGAAATTGGTTTATCCACCCACTGCCACTAGACAATAATTGATTCCTAATTCACCTTCCCTTCTCATTCCTTGCACTTTCTTCTTCTCACACCAGCAGAGTAACAATGGCTCCTGCACCAAATTCACGAGATCTAAAAACGAAACTCAGAGCCCAAAACCTCCGAACTGCTAGTAATCGATCTTCTCCTCAATGATCGACCCGATTTCGCCAAACTACATCTCCAAAATCCAACTCTGTCGCAACTCCTCCATCTTCGTCTTCTTCACCCGCCACCAACAGAAGTTCTCGGCTGGCTCATGCATGTTTGCGGAGTGGTGGGACGGCGAGATATTCATTGATGGCAGGCCGGAATCCCAGCTAATTCTCCCAATTGTTAAGCTGACAACAGGGGCGGCGGCACCGAGGTCATCATCGGGAAGACAATCAAGCGCTGGGGGAGTAAGGGCAAGAAATAGTTTCCCAAGTGGCAACTGACCTCTAATTATTGAGTCTGGACCACCCACTATATACCCCAGAGGTCGAAGAAGATAGCCACATAGCAGACACCATTTCCCATCCACCCAATCCCCAATTTAAGCACTCACAAACACAACTTCTTGTTCAGCCAAAAATGAGCTCCAACGAGGCGGCGCTGCCGAAGAAGCCCCATGCAGTTTGCATACCATTCCCAGCTCAGAGCCACATCAAGCGACACTCAAGCTCGCCAAGCTCCTCCACCACCGAGGCTTCCACATCACCTACGTCAACACCGAGTTCAACCACAGCCGTTTGCTCCGGTTCCATTCTCGCCGGTTGACGACATTCTCGCGGGTTCTCGTACCAGTTTAATTTTACATCTGTCTTTCGTCTCACCTCTCATCGTCAAACGGCAGTTCCGAGTAGCACGTCCAAGGAAAAGCTACTACTACTCATCATCCTCTGCTTCCAATTGAGATCAGCCATTTTGGAAGAGGGCGGGATCGGAATCGGACGAACCAGCTGCTTATTGGGTTTTAAATTTGGTGTGCTCGTCGGCGGTCCCAGCGTTAGCCTCTCGAACGACCCGTCGCCGCCGGTGTTTGGTATCGCGACCGGGAAATTGGGGACCGGAGGAAGCTTCGAGAGCTAGTTGCTGGTCTTGATCGGAACAGCCACCGCTTCTTGATTTGGCAATAGATTAAATAGATTTTTTATGATAAATTACCCTATTACCCTTAATGAATCCTGTTGTTACAGTAACAACAAAGGAGTTGTTGTTATAGTAACCGCTCCCTATACTCGACAATCGACATGAGCCATTAGGGTTAGGGTGGCAAACTACTAAAAAGTCCTTCTAAAATAATAATAATACATATCCATCCACACGTCTCTATAGTTAGATGATGCAGAGGTCAGTTGGCAGGGGAAATTGATGGTCAACTACAACATCAAATCTAATTTGTAATTCAAATCCACACGTCTCTCACTATTATTATTATTATTTAAATAGTTCATCATCCTTCTTATTATTATTATTATTATTATTATTATTATTATTATTATTATTATTATTATTATTATTATTATTATCCGAGTTATAGAACAAAATAACTCAAAGATTACAAAATCTACAAGATTCGTGTCTTACCACCTCTGATACGATAATATAATATGAGAACAATATGATTCATAACCAGAGTTGATAAACCACAGAGTTTCATGGATCAAACTCATAGAACATCTTCTTGAAACCCTCCATCACGTCACTTTCCAAGCAAATCGCCAGCGACAGGCTCCCGTCGGCAGGATTTCTCGGCAACAGAATCCCCATTCCTTCGCTGATATCCGCCACATGAAACAGAGTCGAACTTCCCCATCCGAAATCTGCAGTCTTGAACGGAAACCGCATCCAGCTCACCACCCACAGGTTCGGCGACCGACAGTGGGTTTGAACTTGGATGATACCTTCTGGGTTGTTGGGATCTTCCAGGTAATCTATGGCGGATCGGAGGTACTCGTCGTCCATCCTGCTCAGCGCCTGCTGGATCCTCTCCAGTGTTCGTGGCAGTGGCTCGGAGGCGAGCTCTCCGGCGAGGGCGACCGGCGTGGCGTGGAAGATCACGTTGCCGAAGTACCCTGCGGGCAGAGAGGTGGCAAATGGATTGGTAAGATGTGGATTCGGATCGAATGAATTGGTGGATTGGAATGGATTCAAATGACATTATCTAAATAGTGAACAAATATGTAAATCGTGGGAAAAAAGTTTAGATACTTAAATATCATAATAAAATATTTTAGATACCAAATCGCAAATTTCCAATGATATGTTGTATTAAGAAATTAAAATTTAGGTATCAAAACCTCAACTATAAAATGCATTGGTACTCAACTATAATTTTTCAAATATTCATGAATGCACCAATCCTTAAGGTGACAAATGGATTGAATTCATAGAGATATCAAACATATTGGGAGATTCATAGATTGGATCGATCCATGGATCTAAGTGACATCTAAATATTGGAGCAATATGGAAATTTTAAAAAGTTAGATGCTAAAACTTCATAATAATAAAAGTTAGGTACCAAACCATAAATTTTCGATAATATTTATGTAATTTTTCCAATTGGATTTGGATCCAATTAATTGGATTTAAACTAATTTGATTAATTGGATATATTTTAGTGATGGATTGGACACAAAATTATCGTCTCTAACCAATCCAATTAGATTTGGATTAACTGGATATTTTAGTGAGGGTATTGGATTGGATTGGTGAATTTGATACAAATTTTGACTTCTACCTGCAGGGAGTGGAGGGCTCAGCCTTGAACGGCCATCAAGCGATATATGCAGCTTGGTCGGTTGTTCGTTGACCAAGCCGCGTGCTTTGATCGCGCAACGCCATATGTGCGATGTCAGGATCTCGTAGGTGCTGTATCTGGACCTGGCCATGGCCCTGTCCTTCAAGGTGTTGAGCTGCTCCGCTGTGATCTTTAGTATGGCGACGGTGGCGGCTGGTTTCGGAGGGTTGTTGTCGGTGATCATCATGGTAGGGTCAGGATCGTACTCGACATGGTGAAACTCTGGGGTTACTGGCCGTCGAGCTCTCAGAATGGTGCGGTCCCAGAACAGCGTGGCCTCAACGGGTAAACCCCGAGCCATGTCTGCCCAAGTGTTGATGAAGCTCACTGATGATTCCCCATCGGCTAGAGCATGGTGGATTCCGATTCCGAGACATATTCCGCCGCACTTGAACCTTGTTACCTAAGAAGAAAGTCAGAAAAAAGCACGAAATGTGTTGGTAAGTGGTATAAGATTTATAATTGAACATCTACCAATGAGGTATATACCTGGACAATCAGCAGAGGATAAGAAGAAACCCCTTTGGAATAATCGACCCTAGGAAACAACTCCAACAGCTCTGCCTCTTCTCCGGGCGAGAACTCCAGACCATCCGCCATCAACAGTAGCTCCTTAACCTCAGCAAGAACAGCCTCCGATTCCGCCTCCTGAAACAGGACCCCTTCGTCGTTGCAGTCCAGCTCGAGCCTCCCGCCGTTACCGTCTCTCCTCCTCAGCCTCCCCGCCACGGGATAGAACGGCACCAGGGTCTTGCTCAGAGCCTCCTTCACCACTTTCGTATCGAAGAAGCAGGACTCGGAGGAAGAAGAAGAAGCAGGTTTATTGTACGCGGAGATCACTCTTGTGACATGGCTTCTCAGCTGCAGGAGGTCTAAGTTCGATAGCCAGAGGCTGTGCCGTCGCATGCGTTCTGCTGGCTGGACCATGGTCGTCGATTTCACGGTCACCTTCATCGTGATGGAATGAGCTAGCTAGGGAGAGGAAGAAGCCGACGAGGGTTGGATTGAGTGACGAGAGATGGTGGTGAGTGATGCATGTGTTATGGAAGGGGGGCAGTTACTTATATAGCAAGAAAGGAGAGACTTATATGTCGCCTTACTCCATGATTTGTTCCAGTATCTAATTAGGCGCGAAACTCTTAGGTGAGGCGTTTTGTCATTGCCTTGCGCCTAGGTGTGTCTAAGCGTAAGGTTAAGCATGTCTTTTTGAATCATGGCTTTTAGTAGTTCGAATGGTATGTGATTCACGATTGAACCTCTCCCAACTAGAGGTGGCAATTTCAATCCAATCCACCAATCCAATCCATCAATCCATTAAAAATATCCACCTAATCCAATCCATTTAAATCCAATCCATTTGATCCTAATCCAATTGGATTGGTGGATTCATGGATTGGATCCATGGATCATTGGCAAATTACGGTTTAGTACCTATAATTTTTATTTTTTACATTTTGGTACCTAAAATTTTATTTTTATACGAAAAATATCATTGAAAAATTACGTTTTGGTACCTAAAAATTTTCATTGTGACATTTTAGTACCTAAACTTTTTACATTTTACATATTGGTCCTTGGTTGAGGATGTCATTTGGATTCATGGATAATCCACCAATCCACTTGATCCAATCCATGAATCCACCAATCCATTTGATCCAATCCATTTGATCCATGGATCCACCAATCCAATCCACCAATCCACCAATCCAATCCATTTGCCACCTCTACTCCCAACAAATCGAGTTATTGGGAGCGAGCAACTGGTTCTTGACATGGTATCAGAGCCTTCTGTGACCGAAATGTCTTCTGTTCAATTCCCGGTAGCCCCCATCTATTTCTGTTAAACTCACGATGTCCGGACCTGTGCTCGATCAGGGTGCTTGGCTCTATGAGCGAGTCGGTATTAAAAGAACATTCATAACCCCTAGTTTTGGGGCGATCTTAGTGAGATCATGCACAATTCCAGTCAACTCTACATATGTGATAAAAGCTACATCTAGATCCACTGAAAAAGCTTTAATAGGGCGATAATATTCCCTCCTCATAATGCTAGCATGCTACTAGCTGCCTGTTAAAAAAAGGAGAGCGAACGACCAACCAAACTATAGTGAGACAGGTCCATTATTATTTCCCTTATTGTGGTGGTATATAACTGCACTTAGGTAGGACGACTGTATACCAAGAGAAAAGCAGAAGGTCAAAGCAAAGTTAGGCAGGGATAATAAATGGATGTTACACCAAAAAACAAAAATAAGTAAAGCTAGTAAAATTTCGTTTATTAATTACTAGATTTTGCCCCGACCGTTTGACGGATGAATCAATACTCTTCATAATAATAACAATTACCCGAATTATTTATTTGTTACCATGAAATAATTCAAGTTATTCAATTACTAAAAGTGTAAAAAAAACAAAATACATCATAAATTTTACAATATTTTGATCATTCATGTATACAAGTTTTTAATTATCAAATGAAACACCACAACTCATGCAGGGAACTGATTCTAAAAAACCTTAATATTCAAAACGCACTTCAGTTTACTCTTTGATGTTAGAAATTACTGCAAATTTCTTTATGGATTACATTTGGATTGATCCGCCATCAAAAGCATCTTCTCCACACAACTTCATCATCATTAATGAAACTTATATTCACCATCAATAGTAAGGGTGGAAATCGGTACGGAACCCCAATACCAAATACCAAAATCCCGAATACCGAATTACACCCTAAAATCAATCTCAATCCCAATCCTTAAATAATTTCGGTATCCCAATCTCAATCTCTAAATATTACGGTATCCCAATCGGTACTTCGGTATCCCGATCGGTATTATCGAATACGAAATTAATTACCTTTGCAATTAATAATTAAATATATAAATTAGATTTTATTGTTTAATTTAGGGCAAAGAGATTAAGCAAAGAGTATTGAGTTTCGCTAAAGCTAGGATATTATTAAGGAGAATGAAGGAGGGGAGAAATCTCAAGTTCTTGTCAATGGTAATCTTTAATTTGATGAACTGAAGAGAGACAACTATTACTAGTGTTTGCTTTTTGGTGTTATGAAAATAACAAGAGATTAGGTGAGACACGAAAGTGACTTAAATTGGAAAGTCAAATTTGAGTTGGATGAGACTTTTAAGTTGTGAAATAGTGATGGAATGATCTATGTATAATTAAATGATCCTCTTGGTGGTTGAGGGTCGTGTAGTAATGAATGAGAGAGTCTAGTTGAGAGGATAAAATATACTCTTGCTTATATTTCGATATTGATCGGTATATACCGATCACAATCCCGTAATCCCTAATACCGAATAACAATTGAAATTCAATCCCAATCTCAATCCCAATAAAATAATAAGTGTATTCGGTAATACCAAATATAGACAAATTCGGTACGGTATTCGGTATATCCCAAATATTGGTACCAAAATCCAGCCCTAATCAATAATCTTTTCCTTCTTCCATGCATTATATTGAAAACCAAGTTTTAATGGTAAAATGTTTGAAAATGGGAAACATCTTTTCACGATAGTAGAATTTTACCTCATCTTTTCACTCTTTCCTCTCGTATTTGAAATTTCTATATCCACCATCAATAATCTCTTTCTTTATCTAAATAACCTCATTATCTTCATCACTGAATTCACTATCTCCGCTATTAGCATACACTTCCTTCTTCTCGTGCATTTCACTAATTGCGAATATTTAACGGCAACATTTTTAGAATTATGAAACTTAGTTTTCAGGAACTTGTTTGAGATTGTTCTTCTTCGTCTTTCATTATCTTCAAAACTGTGTACGCACTTATGAGGTTCGCAATGTTGTAATCGTGAGCTTGATTTGAAAATTTAACTTAATGCTCTTAGTTTGGATGCGATGAGGAGGTGAAAGTTCTTTAACTTTGTCACTATCTTTGAGTAGTTTCTTAGTATATATTCAAAACATCTAGCTCTTTCGCTATACAAACAAAAAAGTTAGATTAAACCATGTTTTCTACAACTTATATCTAGTCCTGAATCTATAAAATAAATCCGCTTGAGATACACTATTTGGTCGAAAACTTTATGTTTTAGTGGGTTTTTTTCTCTCTCAAATTAATGACCTTGAAGTTGAAAAGAACAGAAGAGTAGAGGTGGATTATTACCTAACTACTATTGTCTTTGATATTGTTGTATAATTCTTATAAAGTTACTTGTCGTAGTCTTCTTCAACTTTTCTTCAGCAAGTTTCAATTAATATGGGGTTTTTAATTTTAAATAAGAGTTGAAACGAATAAGATATAGTTCGTCGAATTTGTGAGAAATTGAAAAACTCTTGACTATAGCTCTTGATATTTGTGTCAGCCGTAACTAAAGAAGGTTATGCACCAAAATTCTATTCTTTTTAATTGGTTGTTTGAAGATAGCACTGGAGCAGTGTTTTATCAATTAGATGATTCTCCAAGATGAATATATTTTCGAGACATAGAATCAATTAATATATTGCTTAATAACCGTATAAATTAACTTAAAAATAAAAATAATACTAAAACAGGCATAGAAGAACAAAATAATATGCAAGTGTCAAATGAAGTTTTGATAAGAATTATCATCGCACTAATAAAGTTTTTTTCACTAACATTTGATCAAAACCAAACAAAGTTATGAAGAAAAAAAATTGAAGTTGTCTTTTGCAGCTATGGTAAAAGAAAACTATACATCACAAATCAAGCTTTAAGGTGGTAAGATCTCTTAATTTTGTTATCATTGTTCAAAAAAAGAATCTATGAAAAAAAATTATCTAGCTACTGGCTTTAAACTTTGATCTTCTAGTCTCTAAATGGAGATTGTAATATACATTTCATCGGTTTAAGAGAGAACCATTACGTAAAATAAAAATTGAGAAATAAACTAATAATTATTTAGAAAATCACTTATAATTATATTCATAATCTCCTCGTCCTTATCAATTCTCAATAACACGCTGAATTTATTTTATATATGTTTTATGGGAAATCTCAAATCCAAATTATAATTGAAAAGGAAAGTTATAATTGAAAATTATTTGGTTTGTTTAAGTTAATTACTTTTAGAACTAAGTTAAGTTATTAAAAATTAGTTAATTAGTAGAGTCACACGTATAACAATTCGCCTCAGACACTTAACCATATAATAAAAGAAAAGAAAATGAACAAACTAAACTTTTCTACACGCAACCATCATACATAATTAAAAATAATAATATGATAATTAGTTTTACAAAGATTCCCTACAGGATCTCTTTTCCATTAGTAAGTACAATCAACAAAATCTCCGTTTAGCCCGAATTCTATTAATTAAGAGGACAAAATTGTTCTTCCTAAATTTATTCAGAAGGTTCGAAATTCATAATTAAACATGTTTTTATAGAGAACCTCTTTATATTAGTATTAGGATAGTATTCGTAAACATATAAAAAAGTTGTTGAACTTTTTTGTATTTGTTTGATGTTTCAAGTACTAGACGCATACGAAAAGTTGAATACTTGCTTATATAATTTTGTCGTTTTACGTGTCTCAAATTAATTCTATTAACTACTTGTGAAAACAAACATCGTTAGGAAAATTCGTTTAATATTTCTATACATATTAAACGAAAGTTATGCAATTGGAGTCAAGTATGCGCTCCTTCAATAGTTCAAATGGTTAGGAATATGTAGACATAAAAACTTGCTTAAATTGTCCCCCAACATTTATGTATTAATGAAAATTGAAACGAGATGACTTAACTCTAATTTGATCAAAGTGAAACTAATACCGGAATGAGTTATAAGGTGAGTGAAAAATGTGCACTCTCAAAAGACAGAGTGGTCTAGTGAGGTCAGATAATCAACCACAAAATTAGCCTCTCTACAAACATGTTCTAACCCACGGACTTGTCAAGGCAACGTCTCAAGTCGTTTAATTGTACACAAGTTTTAACCAAATAAGAGATACGAAAACGGACGTCATTGGCAATAGAATATTAAATATATTAGATCGACCGAATGAGAGAGATATATATGGATTAGTATCTAGAAATTACCAAAGTATGCCATAGCAAAATGATAATGCACAACAATAATGAAAAAGGAAATTAGAATGATTAGTGAAAAAGACTAAAAGAGTGATAGTCAAGCAAATGAGTCAACGATAAAGATTGTGAATAATAAGAAAGAAATATCGATTTATATAGAGAAGAAACAATTGTGTGAATACCATACCATTAAAGGAAAATAATTGAGAATGATTAGTAAAAAAAAAGACTCATAGTCAAGAAAATGGATGAAGAAAATGACCATTTTAAGTAAAACAAATTTGATCATTGAACACCATTAATAAGGAAAATTGACCATGACATAAAGATTTTTAGAAGTGAAAATGTGTAGAGAGCTCGAGCTATATATATATATTCTTAATCCTTCACCTCAATCCACATCCATTTCGTAAAAGTTTTCCCCTCAAAGCTACAACAATATGAAGGTGAACATCCTAAAGACCACCATTGTGAGGCCTAGTGACAAAGACGAGGCAAACCCTGATCATCATGGTCGTCGTCGATTGTGGCTGTCCAATCTGGACCTCGTACACGGTAGGGTCCACGAGTCGACGGTTTACCTCTACAAGCCGTCGGAGAGAAATTACTTCGACCTCGAGCTGCTGAAAGAGGCCCTGAGTCGGGCACTCGTCCCCTTCCATCCCCTGGCCGGACGGCTGGCCAGGGACGAGAAGGGGAGGATCGAGGTGGACTGCAACGGAGAAGGCGTGTCGTTTTTGGAAGCCGAGTCAGATGCTTCGTTGGACGAGCTTGGCGAGTTCATGCCTGGAGATGAGCTACTCAAGTTGGTGCCTAGGGTTGATTACTCAAATCATGAGATCTCTTCTTGCCCTTTGGTGCTTCTTCAGGTAATCTTCCCAACTTTAAAACCTACCCAAAAATGTAAAATTTTCTTGCAACACTTAAAAAAGAATCATAATTTGTCTTGGGTTTTTTCAAAGGTGACGAGGTTCAAGTGTGGCGGATTGAGCCTTGGGACAGCAATCCACCACAGCGTGGCCGATGGTGAATCGGCTCTGAGCTTTATCAAAACATGGTCCAACCTGGCTCGCGGCCTTCCCGCAGCGGTCACGCCGTTTATGGACCACACCATTCTTCGAGCCAGGAACCCACCCACCCCAAAGTTTCATCACTCCGAGTACGACCCGGCCCCAACCCTGATCAACAACCCTAACCAACCCGGAAACCGCACCACCATGGCCATCTTCCGGTTCGAACCGGACCAACTCAACGCCCTGAAAAAGCTGGCAAACCCAACCGGCACAGCTAGTAAAATACGGTATGAGTATTTTACATTATTATGTAAATTAATTGTACCTCGGTCGAACACAGTTACGTCAACAGTCATAAAATATATTGAACGAATTAGTCCAAAAAATAAATAAACGTACAAATAATTTTCAAATTATTATCAATGAAATTCATTAAACACGGACATTAAAGCTTTATACATGTTTAGTACAAGATCCATTAGATGAACGAGAGAAAAAAAAAATGTTTTAGCAATAATCCAAAAATAAAAAGTTTTAAACACCATAAAATACATACATACATTATATATACGCGCGTATTAAACAGAGTATTTACCGATTATACCAGGTACAGCACGTACCAGATCCTGACGGCCCACATCTGGCGCTGCGCGAGCAAGGCCCGCGGCGGCCTTGCTCCCGACCAGCCGACCAGGCTCCACATGGCGGTGGACGGCCGGTCGAGGCTGACGAGCCCGCCGGTCCCTTCTTCCTACTTCGGCAACGTGATCTTCCATGCCGCTCCCGTCGCCACGGTCGGCGAGCTAACTACGGAGCCACTGGTTCGAACCCTGGAGAGGATTCGAGATGCCATCGACAAGATGGACGACAGCTACCTGAGGTCGGCGATCGATTACTTGGAGGACCCCGACGACGGCGACGACCCGGCGAGCGTGATGCAGGTTGGGGGCACGTGCCGGTCGCCGAACCTGAAGATCGTCAGCTGGGTCCGGCTGCCGTTGGAGTGTGCCGATTTCGGGTTTGGGAAGCCGCTGTGTTGCCGTCCGGCGGGGTTGTTCGAAGGATATGGGAACCTTCTTCCTGGGAGTGGTGAGGATGGGAGTCTTGTTCTTGCGATTTGTCTTGAGGCGGAAGCTATGGCGGCGTTTCGGAAGCTGGTTCATGGTGTTGATGTGTAGTTGGTTGTTGATGTAGGAATGTAACTGTGTTTGCCTTTCTTCTCTGTTTATGTACCATGCATGCATGGATTCGAATCAATAAACCTCGATTTCAAACGTTTGGTCTAATGGTACTATTATTGTTTTTCTATTTTAATCTTGTCCTTACTTCAATCATGGCTTGACTTTTAACCAAAAATTGACATATCATAATAAAAAAAATTTAGTCCAGTCAGCATGCTTTCAAAATTTATTGACAAAAAGACTATTTTCTTTGTATTCTACAAAAAGTGGCTATTGTTAGTCAAAAGTGAATATTTATAGGCTTATAGTTTTTTTTTTTACAAGAGGAATCTTTATTGCATTTCAACTGAACCAGTTACAAGAAGAACATGAAGAACCAAAGAAATGGATCCAGTGAGAGGAGAGAAAACAAAGAACAACCGATCAACAAACTGTGCTCAAAGGATGCAACAAGGGAGACACAAAGCACAGAATGAAAACCAATCACAGAGAAGATCCAAACACACGGACCAAAACAGGAACCACAAAATCCCTCTTGCAACCATTCAGTCAAACCACAACAAGATTAGGGTCAGCTTGTCTGATCAAATCGAAATCCATGACTGTTGAGCAAAGCAAAGCCACGTGCCGCCTCCTGGGGATTGCACGAAGACATCCATCACAGTGAATCTCGGTGAAGATTACATGGCGATGGAGAAGGATATGAACCGGAATGCTCCAAGCTGAGAAGGTAGAGGGGCCAGGAAGAGAGATCGGGTTCCGAAGAGGTCCAAAGGCCACCGCTGAACCGATTTCCACCGCCGCAACCGGAGAAGACTCACTTCCACAAATAGGCTTATAGTTAGAGGTGGCAATTTGTGATCCAATCAACCTATCCGATCCACTTAAATAACCAACTAATCCAATACATTCAAATCCAATTCATTTGATTCAAATTCAAGTGGACTGGTGGATTCATGAATTGATTCATGGATATCTGAATGGTAAATTATAGTTTGATACCTATATTTTTTGTATTTTACAATTTGATACCTAAAATTTATTTTTTATACGAATAAATCATTGGAAATTACATTTCGGTACCTAATTTTTTTTATTATGACACTTTAATACCTAAACTTTTCAAAATTTACATTTTCGTCCAAGACTTGTATGTCATTTGGATATCTATGGATCAATCCAGCAATCCATATGATCCAATCCATAAATCCACCAATCCACTTGATTCATTTTATTTTACCAATCCAATTCAGCAATTCATGAATTCAATCCATGAATTCAATCCATTTGTCACCTCTAGTTATAGCTAGCTATCTAATAGTATTTTATCACAGATTAATACGAGTCATGAAATCAAGTAGGCTCTCATAATAGCTTTTTTTCCAAAAGTCTTGACCAGAATCTATCACAAAATGCCATCCACTGCCACCATAAAACTTCTGGCCAACTTACCATCTCCCACCCATTTTAATAAGTCCCTCCATCCACTCTCGTGGCCATCACATTTCCTCCCAAAAGAAAAACTCAGAAACTTGGCATATATTCACGTCTCCATCTTAGTTTGTGTTTGCTTCGAATTCTGAAAGTTCTGAACTTCAATCACATCCCCAACTTCTGCTTCAAATCTCTCCACCTCGTTTTGAGCCGACCCAGCTTCTCCTCAGCAGCCACCTTATCCTCACAAGCCCGCTTCCTCTTACCACTAGCCTCCTTCACTTCCTCCATCTCCCTGGCCGGCCTTCTCCAATTCATCGCTAGTCGATCTCTTCCGATCGCCAACCTAAGCCTTGCGCGCGACCAGCTGCTGAATCTCACCATCCAGTCTCCTCTCTTCCTCCCCGAGTCGGAAAACCTCGTCCTCCAAGCCGCCCAGCTGCCTCTGCCTGCGAAACAGCCTCGCCTTCAGATCTTCCACCATCCACGCCATGGAAGCTTCGGTGACGCGGGAAGATTCGACCATGGACATCGTCCTGGGGACGCCCTGTTTGAGCTCCGAAAGCAACTCCTCCAGGGCCGCCTTGTCGACGACGTTGGTCGAGGGATGATGGGCAATCAGGCGAGCAATCTGGCTCGACATCTTCGAACCACTCGGTTTTGCGGATGGCTTCCAGCGGAATGCAGAGGTATCTAGCCATCGTTTCTCTCTGCTATTGCAGTAGCCAGGTAGAGCTGCTGCCTGATGCAACAGGGGATTTGGTATTGCTGCTTATTATTGTTGATAGCTGCGCTATCAGGCTGCTTGAGGTCAATCGTGCCCTTGATGTCGAAGGCCCGGGGCAACCAACCTTCACCCACATATTAGAGCAAGAGATGGTACAAATTAGTCAAGACTTAATAGTTCAACCAACCTATTGCGAAAACATCAGGGCTACTTAACTCGAGTTGTTGGGAGAAGGTTCTGCTGGATCTCCTCAAACAAAAGCCAACCCATGGGCTTGAAGTTTGCACAGGCCCACCATACCTTGTGCTTTAATTAACTGTTAATATTGGGGGTCGTGGAGATTCGAACACACGACCATTTGGCCAAACCAGTTCTGATACCATGTCAAGAACCAGTTGGTCCCAATAACTCGAGTTGTTGGGAGAAGGTTCTACTTGATCTTATACCACTCTCTAACAGAGGAAGGTTTGTTCCTAGTGTGAATCAAACTGAGAGTGAGAGTAACGACTCAACTGTAGAAACCTGAGCGTGGATTACGAGAGTATCATCTGCAACTAACTCGAAAGGGCCACCAAACTTGCGGCGTGGAACACAATCCTTGAATCCCCAGCCCTTCCCGCCTACTTTGAAGTGCCGTCTGCCTCCCCCTGGTTAATAGATGAGCTGAAGCGCATTAGAAAATGCAAGGAACGTTCAATTCAATTCACATGTTGACATTCATGGACTTGGCCATGATCAAAGAGATAGATAGATGAAACACAGATACAAAGTGCATTTCTCGGTGAAGACAACTACTACTCATTCTCGGTGAAGACAACTACTACTCACTGATTCAGCAAACCCTAACCCAACCAACAAAGCATCATTCAAACAATCGAAGAGATAGAGAAACAAAGATACCTAGTAGGCAGCGGCCGTCTGGCCGTCCTTTTGAGGCAGCGTAGAATTTGTAGTCGGCGTATCTCTTCCGACGACCATCCTCCCCTGCTCTCGGGTCGGAACAACAACGCAGGAACACAGAGATACACTCCATGGCTTCAAAGGGGTGTTCCCATGTATCAGCAACAAGGATCCTGCTCAAAAACAGAGTTCGCCATTTGTGTAAGAGAGAAATGACAATACATACATACAAAAACCGCAACCGCCGGGGGGGGGGGGGGGGGGGGGGGGAAACAACAACAATACACACCATTCGCAACCGCCGGCAAGAAATCAGGGGCGGAGCTACAGCTGGTCTCGGGGGGCCCCGGCCCCCCCGAGAATCGTGAAAATTACGTCTAAACTACATCGATATATTGAAACTTTCGTAAAAAATTAACAAACTATCTAATAAGTTTAGTGTGCCAATTTGAAGAACCAAAGTAAGCGTAGTCCAGCGGGAGAGGAAGGGAGTTATTATGTAGCTGATTGGGGGTTCGATACTCATCCTCTGTCATAATTATGTTTTTAAATTTATTATTTCTTTACTCATTTAATTAGATATAATTACTTTCAAGTTTCATGTTGTATGGTTTCTTCATTTGCAATATTGTTTCTTTGCTCATTTAATTTCAAATTTAGTTTTTTATTATTCATTTTGACCTTCCATAAATTATTCTACATCAATATTTTGACTCTAATCATCTAAAATGATTAATCATAATACTATTAAAAGTAAAATTTACTTTGATTGTCTTGCTTAGTTTTTAATTTTTTATCACCTTTCCGTGATAACAATATAAAATTTTTTCGGCCCCCCCGAATGTCAAATCCTAGCTCCGCCCCTGCAAGAAATGGTTCAGACTTGCGCATTCCGGAAATCCAACTTGACACGTCAGGGATCTTCCAAGTGAATGAGTACTCAGCGGCCATGCCGGCTGGCTGGCTGGCTGTCGATTTTCCACCGCAGATTTGGGAGAACAAGGAGAGGGCTTTCCTGGAAGAACAGAGGATTAAAGAGCGAGCTAGAGAAGACAGAGAGATGGTCGCGTGTTAGAAACAAACACTTTACAGCTTTTCATTATTTCGTATTATTGTCGGTTTTGATAATTGGGGGACCATTTGGGGTATTTTCGTTATATGGGTAGCAGTTAGGTATTTTGCGGATTATATAATCTGCAGTAGGAGTTATTTTGTCATTAGGCAATCAATTACAGAAAACCTAAATCCTAATCTCTCTCTCTCTCTCTCTCTCCCTAGCGCCGAACTTCCTCTCTCTTTCCCTCTCTCTTTGGCCGATCGGCAGCCATCCTTCCCCTTTCTTCTTCCTAAATTCCCTAATTCTAATCCCTAGCTTGATCAATCCCTAGTTGGTCTAGCTAATTCCCCAATTCTACAACTGTTAGAAACCTTGTTTCTAACATCTGGTATCAGAGCCCGGTTCCGATCGGAGAGTTCTTCCCAACTCCGTCAGGGACAGCTTAGAAACCGGAGAACCAACGATGGTAACGACGAAATCCATGAAGGCAGCAGAGAAAGCGGAGAAGGCGAATCAGGCAGGTGACAAGGGCGCCGATGCAGGTGACGACGGGGTCGATGGGGCTGTGGAGGATCTGACCGGCAATGAGGAGTTGAGGAGGGATCTGGAGGCGCAGGCGAGGAGACAGGCGCGGGTGGAGGAAGAGTTGGGAGAACTGCAGGAGAGGGCTAGGGAGCAAGGCCAAACCCTTGATGCTCTGACAGGAGCTGTGAAGGCACTGGCGGGACAGGTGGGTGACTTGGTGGCGGCCCTGAAGAAATCAGGGATCGAAGCTGGCGGCGGCGGCCAGTTGCACGGGGAGGACGGCACGCCAGGGGAGGGGTCGATTTCGGTGGAGGCGGCCGGCGACCACGGCGCCGCGCGGGCCTCGGCGAACACGGCGGCGGAGGGGCGGGGTGAGAAGGGCGGCGCGGCGGCCAACCCTAACCGGCTGGGGTTGCGTGCGGGCCAGGTCTCCTTTGGCCCAACAATCAAAGATGGGCTGCTTCCGACCCCCTCGGCCCAGGAGAAGGCGCGCGCGCGGGGCAAGGCCAAGATGGCAGAGTACGTGGGCTTGGATGAAGAAGAGTTGATGGGCTTGGAGCAGGAGTATGATCATGAGCCGTGGCCCAATGAGCCGAATGGGCCCGGGGAGGATTATAACAGGGATGAAGGGAGCCATATGGGCCGAGCTGGGACGGAAGGCGGGCCAGGTGGGAAGCGGCGAGAAGCGGACCGCGGCTGGGAGGTGGGTCGGCCGAGCTCCATGGGCCGGGGACCCGCGGGCCGGGCCGAGTATGCGGGCCGGGCGGGGTCGAGCAGGGGCCCAAGCGGTCGGGTCGAACCCGGTCGGGCCGAACCCGGTCGGACCGAACTCGGTCGGACCAGGACCGAACCAGGGCAGCAGCTGGCGCGCCAAGGGGGAACGGGCAGCAGGGGCTTTCCGGCTCGCCAAGGTCAGTTTGACGAGCCTAGAGGCAATCAACCGCCGTTTGTGAATCAGCACGACACTGGTAGGGAATTCATGGGATCAGGAACTGGTGATCAGAGGCAGAGAAATGAGATGGGCCGAGGACGGGGACATCAAGAGGAGGAGGAAGGAGAGTGGGAGTATGAAGGGGGGCACCGGTACTCGCAGCACTATCACCGCGAGGCGCCGGGGTATGGGAGGCACGCTGGTTACTCCCGAGGTGGTGAGGAGGAAGATGACATGGTGTTTCGAGCTAAGCCCCCAACCATTGAGTTTCCAAAATTCAACGGCAGGGAGGATGCAGGTCTGTGGCTATACTCCGCAGAACGGTGGTTCAAGAACCATCCCACTAGAGAGGAACGGAAGGCTCAGTTGGCGTCCTTCTATTTAGAGGGGGATGCATTGCAGTGGTGGGAATGGATGGAGCGGACCTATGCTGAAGCTCGAACGCTGATTACCTGGCCGATGTTCAAGGAGGAGCTGAGGTATCAGTTTGGCAAGTCGGAAGGGTGGGCCCCGGAGCAGCTGGCGAAGCTGCGCCAGACTGGGACAGTGGCGGAGTATCGAGCAGAGTTCTTTAAACTGGGTAACCAGTGCAAGGGCGTACCGGAGGAGACATTGGTGGGTCTGTGCATGGCGGGACTCCGGCCAAAGATCGCAGCGGCTGTGCGGGTATTTGAGCCCGATTCACTTCGAGCTGTTTTCCGTCTTGCAGGTAATAAGGAGGAGGAGCTGGCTAGTTGGCGGGGCGTGATAGGCCGCTACCAGAAGCCGGCCGGAGGAGGAGGCGGTGGTAGCAGCGCGAGTGGGGGAACGAGTGGAGCTGCATCGGGGCCTAGTTCGGGAGGGGGTGCGGCGGCTGGCCCACCTGCGGCTGTCATTCGAACGGGACCGAGGCCACCACCCAAGGGATTTAGGACGCTATCTCCGGCCGAGATCGAGCAGAAGAGGCGGGAAGGGAAGTGTTTCAACTGTGACGAGCGGTTTACCTTTGGTCACAAGTGCGGGAAGCCTGATTTGATGTTCTTGGTGGGACGATGGGAAGACGAGGCGGAGGATGAGATGGTGGAGGAACCCGGAGCAGAGCAAGAGAAGCCGCAACCTTGAGGACAAGGTTGTTTCCCAAGGAGGCGGGGATGTTAGAAACAAACACTTTACAGCTTTTCATTATTTCGTATTATTGTCGGTTTTGATAATTGGGGGACCATTTGGGGTATTTTCGTTATATGGGTAGCAGTTAGGTATTTTGCGGATTATATAATCTGCAGTAGGAGTTATTTTGTCATTAGGCAATCAATTACAGAAAACCTAAATCCTAATCTCTCTCTCTCTCTCTCTCCCTAGCGCCGAACTTCCTCTCTCTTTCCCTCTCTCTTTGGCCGATCGGCAGCCATCCTTCCCCTTTCTTCTTCCTAAATTCCCTAATTCTAATCCCTAGCTTGATCAATCCCTAGTTGGTCTAGCTAATTCCCCAATTCTACAACTGTTAGAAACCTTGTTTCTAACATCGCGCCGGAAAGGAGTAAAAGGGTTATTCAATAAGTGAAGAGAGAGTTTACTGTAGAAAGAAGGAGAAAAAAAAAGGTGAAAACTGAAAAGACTAAGACTGTTCGGCTTCCTTGGGAACCTGCGATTTTGAAACCTTAGTAAGTCATCTTCGATCGAATAGAAAGGTTCCTCTCTGGTTCCATAATTCCTCTCTCTTCTTCTCTCTAGGCTTTTGAGTATCTCTTTTGAGTAGGGCTGCAAATGAGCCGAGTCGAGTTTTACCCCAGCTTGAGCTCGGTTCGTTAATAAACGAGTCGAGTTCGAGCTCAGCTCGTTTATTAACGAGTCGAGTCGAGTTCGAGCTAGCTTGTTTACTAAAATCTTGACTATTATTTGGTACTTCATTTTGTATATCATTATACAAATGATTTATATTGTTAGCTAATCTCATATTCTACTTTGTTGGTATCATATATCATCTATCTATCTATCTTCTATCTATCTATACTTAATATTATGGCTATTCAAAAATAATTTCTTGCCACATAAGCACTTGGTGAATGCACAAGTTGCTAAGGTGGACAATTTTTTACAAACAAAAAACTATTTATTGATCTATTTATGAAGTTGTCTCTCTCTTCTTTTAATAATTCTACTCATTTTTACTAAAATTAAAATAAGTTAATTTTTTAGGAAACTGTTTACCACTAAAAAATCACTCAATACCACATTGATTATTTTCAAGGAGTGGTAGTGATTTATAAGGCCAACTTAACCATATTAATTAGATTGGTTTAAGTTGGGCCTAAATGATGGTATTTTGGGCTTCATACCAGGTACCTCAACACACACTACTTGACCCACCAAACACCGATCCGTCACGCAGGGGGGTCAAGTGTCAAGTGTGTTGACACCCTTCAACATCAACCACCCAAGTCGTGGAGACCCAACCACAAGGGGGTCATCGCGAGTAACCTTTCGCCGTGTGGTGGCAAAGAGAGCCAAAATATTGGCTAAGTGTTGAGACCCACAGCACAAGGGGGTCAAGCATGCCACCGCAAGGGAGGTTATGCATGACACTGTCAAGGGGTCAAGCACAAAGGGGGTCATGCATGACATCGTCCAAGGGGGGTCTCGT